TTAAGGACGCTAACTTACTCAAAATTGATACTAAAAACAATCCCTTGAAAAGAACGAACATTATTTGGAATTTTGGTAAATGGGCGTGGTATTGCCCACATATGACTATATAAGTTTATCTCATTATGTCTAACCGAACGTTCTATCGAACATGTTTAAAATAGGCGTACAACCACCCCGGCTCACCATGTAGCGGTAGTTTTCGGAAAGGTGGAAAACATATACTTATTTAATACTTGCGCCGGGTATTTGATGTTCGGCTAATGAACAAGTTTTCGAGATATTTTCAGATGTACATGGCGTATAAGTACTTTTCATACAAAAAAATTTTGCGCATTTGCATATGACCTTTAATTACTTGTTTATTTATCCATCACATTTCTTCATTATAAACTTGATTTGTTTGTATCAGAACAGGCTAAAGCTTTGAATGTACTAAATGTGCGCTCGACGTGATATAAGTGGCGCCCAATTTAATTATGGAAGGTTTGAAACTTTTATATTATCAGGATTAAGGGCTTTTCCCTCGCTATAATCACTTTTTTAAAGGTACAATAGACTAAAAATGGCAAATATCTTAAAAAAGCAAAACAAAAGGCAATATCAAATGAGTATATGGCCTAAATCGCCGAAAACGAAACCAAGGGTAAAATTTTTTTTCTGAGGTTTCGCAGATTTTTGATTATATCTTGGTCATACATATTCTAAGGTATCGGACAACATAAATATAAACACGAATCTCCTTCTCTCAAACATGAAAATTCACTAAATCCTGAGACACCTTTAAAATATTAAAAATTAAAAAAGAACAACACGAAACTAAAAGGTAGTTTATATTTAATGACGGAAATTTTTCATATAATACTTGCTGCTCTTAGCTGGGCTAATGTTTTCTTTAAGTTAATAAAACAAATATTTGACAATAAATGCAGCTTTCGATATGAAAATGAGTTCGACAGGTTTTTTTTAATGTAATGTAATAGTCCAAAACACCAAAAAGTTTTTGGCGTGGAATCCACCAGGTTAAAAGAATGAAAGATCGTAGTTTTCTTCGAGCAATTTTGGCCTACTTTCATAATTTAAAAAAAAAATCTACTGTACTGTCCCTTATACCTTTGTTTTAAAGGGAAAAATATTTGTAACGTAACAGTCTTTTTAATACTTTAATTTTCAAGTAAGAAATTTTTTATTTTAGCTAATTTTCCAAGCTAAATTGTAAGCCATAAGACGTCTAGCTGTTATACAATTAAAATCATAAAGCTAATCAAGGCTCAAACAAATAAAAATTACATAGAAAAGTTAAAACAAACGCGAAAATTCGATGGCTTTAAAAAGAAACGGGCCGCCGCCCAAAGAAAGCGGCGCAAGGAATTAAGAAATGAAGAAAATAAATTGCCAATCGAAGAATTTAAAAGACGTGTTAAAACCCGCCGCTCAGTTATTCGAGAAAATGTAAGGAAGCACCGAGAAAAAATTAAATCTAAACCGGTTCTGAATCACACTGATGTCAATGAACCGATAAATGGTCACGAAATTGGTGCCGCTGAGGTTGAAAAAGGCTATAAATCCACCCAAGCACTAGGTAAAGCAGTGAAAAAAGCTATGAATGCACTTCCCGCTTCTAGGGCACGCAAAAACGCAGTCTTAACAAAGATTATAAGCGACATGAAAGATTAAGACCGACATGACCCTTTAAATATTAGGTGAATAGGCGGAAAAGTTGCTGGTTTAGGGTTGAAGAAGAAATTAGAAGATTTTACGAAAGGGATGACATCTCCAAAATTTCTCCAAAAACAAAAGATGTTAAACAATACGACAACTTAGAAACTGGGGAAAAAGTACTTCTTCCGACGAGGTACATGCTCCTGACTATCAAAGAAGTCTTTGCAATATTTGATGAAGAACAAGAAACCACAGGGAAAGGTATAGGAATCTTAACAACAAGTTGTGGAATGTTGGCCCATAATTATTTATATTTTCCTTAGATGGCTGTGGCCTTACATTGTTTGCTGAAAATCGCCCAGAACATATAAGATTAAATAAGGATCTCCCCCATTGCATGTGCATGTGTTCTTATCACTCCAATTTTATTGAGGCTGTCGCAGCTCTTCATAAATATGCTCCATCAATGCCAACATATAATCAAGGTTTTGTTAAGAAATTTTTGTGTGAGGATACCAACACAGATTGTTGGTTTTCAAGATGTGGCAAATGTGATGGTATATCTTCTGAATCACTGAAGAAACAACTTAGTGACATTAAACTAAATATTCCCGTTAAATGGATGGTCTGGCGAAAAAGTGGCAGTTCTAAATGAATCGAGAAACGCGAAGAATCTGGAACACTGAAAGGCTTGCTTGTTCACATAACTTCGTTATCGCCCCAATTTTTCCGCCATAGTTATGTTAAGCGAGAGCAGTCGGATATTTATTACAAGTACGATCGCCCAAGGGCTTCTAACGAACAATTAAACGAAGGATTGCTCCAAATTGATTTCGCTGAAAATTTCGTATGTGAATGGCAAGATGAAGTTCAAAACGCACACTGGAATCAGAAGCAACTATCTTTGTTCACAACTGCTTTCTATTATACAGATTCCAATCGAAGGTTTTCATATCCGACGATTTGGCACATACAAAAGGAAACAATACATATTGCTAACAGGACTACCAAAATCAGTAAAAATATTGAAAATTTGGAGTGACGGACCTTCATCGCAATTCAAAAATAAGTATATTGCTGCAGTTATTCCTTTATTAGAAAACGAGTTCGGATTAAAAATATATTGTAATTATTTTGCCACTTCCCATGGAAAGAGTTGTGTAGACGGAATTGGCGTAACTACCAAACACATCGTGAAGAAACATGTTTTGTCTCGAAAATGTATCGTAAGCTGCGCTTCGGAGTTTGTTTTAGCATTTAATCGGACAGAATACGTATATCGTACATGTAACGTAACAGTCTATTTCTGTAACGTAATAGTCCGACTATTTTTTGTTTACATTGACCTCAAATTTTATTTTATCACTCCAATTAAAACTTAGTTCTTTAGCTCCATCCTTAAGCTAAGAAGCTGTATTTCAGCCATTGAAAACACTCAACTAGGAGAGCAGACTTTTACGATAATATACGATCCCTTTAAAATCTACTTCCAAAATGTGTAATGCAACAGTCAGGTCTTAAACCGTTCACTAGTCCTGAACAACGTGAGCTACAATAATTGTGTGTACATGAAAAATATCGCTACATGTTCATAGTTTAAGGTGTAAGAAGAAAAATAATCGGATAATTATTTTCTACTGAGTTTCAGTGGTATTTCTAAAGCTGTGTGAGCCAAAATGTAATGTAACAGTCCGCGTTTTGGGCCATATGTGGAATCAGGAAAAGCTAAATCGTGGATATTCTTAACCGAATATACTCTATATCTTTAGCAGGAAAAAAGGCACGTTCTATAAAAATACGTTCCCAGCTTATCACGCATGTAATGCATTATTACTCTTACCACTGAGTCTTGTTACCTGTCACCAGTTGACGTAACTACCCTGCAGTACGGGGGAGCGACTACAGGACAGATGAATCGGTATCTACCCTGTAAACTCCTTAGATTTTCGATCGCCTACTTGGCTTGTATTTCAGCGATTACGTTTAAAAGGCAATATCCTAGGCAGTAGTCACCATCGCATCGATCTAGTATGGAGTCGGCTGCCAAAAATACTTCCAGTAGAGATATCGATGTGAATCTTTGGTTTCAGCTTTAGAAAATTATAATAAGTAATTAATCATAGAATGGCCACACTTAAGTGGCTCCAAACCCTCTTACGCCCCCCCTCTTCCACCCTGCCTAATGAAACAAAAAAGTTGGAAAAAATTAAAATGCTTTTTTTAAAGGGGGACCTACATTGCATGCTTCTCTGTATAGCCGGAGAACTACGTTTTTATGCATTGCTATGTATGTAGGTGCTGTCATAAATATCCGTTTATTGAAATTTTATGTCAAACGCACGCATAGGTCCGCCTTATTTCAGGAAAAGTTTTTCACAAGATGCAAAATAATACTTATAAAATAATGAAAAATTTAATTGAAAATTGATTTCCAAGTTACTCAGAAAATCGAAAACGAATTTCTAAAAAATGGCTACCTCTTGCTAGGTAATTTTTGCTGCCCAGTTAAAAAGGGATCATAGCTCAGGAGCAAACGATTAAGCAAATTCCTTTTTGGTGATGGAAACGATAAATTTAAATTTCTTTGTTTTTGGTTTCAGGAGCTTCTTCAAAGAGCTCTCCAATCGATATCTACTACAGCATGTTCAATAACATCAGGAGCGTGGATTACAATTTTGTGAACTGGTGGGGAAAAGCATAGCATGAATAGTACGTTGTCAATTCCTCAGCAGTATCTGGCTCGAATTTCGTGACCCTGAAGACAAGACTTGCTGTATGTTACACAGTTTTCCATACAATTTTTATCAATGTCTGTTATTTCGGCAGATACGTGCGCGTTAGCTAGGTCTGCTATTCGTCATCGCTTAGTTTGTTTTGAACACTCTGCGAGACTTACTTAGAACATCATCGATCTTTCGAATTTGAATATTTGTGCAGTCTTTTAATTTTGCACGATTGCATTTTTTACACATCTCGGAAAATTTTTAAAAATTATAATCAAGACATTCAGGGCTGTCAACTATCCTTAGCTGCATCGGCTCTCTCTTCACTACCAGGAGTATGGACGCCTCTTTCGTAGGTTTTTGCAATTCTGCTTGCGACTGTTTCGACTCTGCAATACCATGCGCACTACAACGGGTTAATAGAGCAGCTACCGAAATAGAAGTCAGTGCAGTAGCGGTCCAAAAGTAGCGATTGACTCCAGCAGTACTGAGATTAGACTCTTTTTTCAGTGTATGTGTGCATGTATGTACATACATGTACATATTTTTGTATAATCATGTGTATACCTAAATTAGTAATCTTTTATTGGAATGTTAGATCATATTATAAATTACCGCGCCAATCAAGCCAATAGATTCGATGATAACATCTTCTTTTTTCAAATGCCCTCGACAGTAATAATTCAAGGCCGTGTCTAAAAATGAGTTCATCGCTTCTTCGCCTTTCGCCCAAGGTTCACTGCTACTGGAACTAATATTGTTGTTTGCATTCTTTTCTATTAGCTAAGGAAATGATAATTGATTAAATATATTTTTACATACATATGTACGTAGTATAATAAATAAATTAAAATATGAATGAATACACAGTAATATTTGCTTGAAAATACCTTGTTCATAAAATTTCGTAGATGACGCAATGCCTTATAATAACTGGGTGTGCGCGCTAAGAAACCAAGGCCCATTGTTGAGCACGCTGCATCATTGGCAATCCTCTCCATCATGCTAAAGGTAAAATAAAATTAAAATTACAGCTAGTTTCATTAAATTAAAAAATAATTTTATAAGTTAATTCCACTGAAAAAAATATATAAATTAATACTGAGAGACTGACCGCAAGGAATGCAGAGCTTTATTTGCGCTCTGAGAAAAAGGATTAGTTTCGACAACTAAAGATATTTAGTTCCCGAAATTCGACAATATTTGGGAACTGTTACCAAGGATTGGGAACTATTACCATGGTTTGGTAATTATAACTAAATATGTATATAAAACTTCTAATATCCATCTAGGTTGTACCAAATCGTTAATTTAGTTGAAGGGTTGGTAAATACTAATAAATATTTTTTTGAAGCATATTTCTACAAATTCCATTCAACTTAACGTATGGCTCATAAAAGGATGTCATTAAGCTCTGCTAATATGGATAAGCTTTCTTTCAACACATGGTTAGTCATAGTTACCAAATCTTAGTTGAGGAAACCACGATTTGGTTTGAGAGCGGAACATATTCATGCTTGTGAGCCACCCCTAAAGAATGCTGACCGCTCTCTGAGCACATGTGTGTTTCACATACGAAGCAATGCACATAGTCCCACTTATTGAATCGTTTGAATGTTCTAGTACCCTGGAAAAATCGTTGGACCATGTAGTCTATTTGAATGTTCTAGTACCCTGCAAAAATCGTTGGACCATGTAGTCTATTTGTGGTATATTGGATTACTTACAAAAGTGTTCCTCTGTCATGCTGTAGCGGACCAACTCGTGTCTCTGCGCCAGCTTATTGTTTGTTACCCGATCACTGCTCGGCAGTGGCGGATACACGGGGGGTTTTTGGGGTTGAACCCCCCTCAAATCAGAGAATAATATTTCATTAATATAGGTCTAGAAAAAAAGCTCTTTACAAGAAAGTATGCGTAATAAAGTTTCAAACACGAATTTTTAAAATCATATATTCAATTTTTCGCTTTATTTATAAAACATTTTGATAATTTTAATCACATTGGGCCGTATGAATAAAAACTAAGCAATTGCTTTTTCTTAAAATTTCATACCTTTTACTTCAATTTTGTTTGAATAAATTGAGTAAAAGATCTGAAATTTTAAGAAAAAGCAATTGCTTATTTTTATTCATACGGTCCATTCAATTTTTTTTTTACTTATAAATCAATGAAATGAAGAATTTTCAAATTTTTCGTGGTTTTTTAAAAAATTCTTCTAGAACTTGTTTAACTGAAAAATTTATATCTTTGTGAATATTCATAGATGCTAGACTGTTGAGCCTTTCTTGACACGTTGTATTTCTCAAGTAGGTTTTAATTCTTTTCAGGCATGAAAAGCTTCGTTCAGGTGTGGCTATTGAAACGGACAAAACTGCCAATATACGTAAGATCTTAAAAACATTCCCAAAAGACGATGTATTAGCTACTTGTAATGCTTCGACAGCATTTCGAAAATGTTCGTGTGAAATTCGTTTTTTCCACATTTTTACCTCCAGAAGAAAGTTTTGTTTCGAGCAGTCGATTACTTTTTCATAGAAAGCAAACAATTCTTCAGTTTTTTTTCGTTAAAATCGTACTTTGGAGACAAAACACTAAAATTAAATAAAACTTATTTATGGTTTAGGAACCGGCTTTTCAAATGAGCAATATATGTATCAAGGAACGCAATGTAAAAAGCAATGCGATAGTATGCCTCGGCGTCTCCGGTTTTCACACTAAAGCGATTCTTTTGGCGACTGCTGTATCGCGATACTTTGATTTCTGTACCTAGGTTGGTGCATACTTCTTCCAATACCATGTCCCCAAAAAAAAGTTAACCATCTCAAATCGAACTTAACCACATCACAACTATTGCTGTCCACACTGCGGTTTGAGGTTTATAAAACACTACAAATGTAAAGAACAGTGTTCGGATCTCCCAAAAACGATTCAGGACTAAATTGCTGCAAAAATCGGAGCAAAAACAAATTTTTCGTACTAGATTGAATTAATTGTTTGACTAAAATATTTTCTATTCATGCAAAATAAGTACCCGAGGCAATGTCAGGATATGTTACATATTTCGGTAATTTTTAGCATTTCCTATATAGTAGAACGTATCTAACACTTAATTTTAAAAAAAGCAAACCTTTTCTACTTTATATAAATTTCATCCTACATATATTTTTTAACAACTTAAGTAAAGTTCTGCATCCGCCAATTTGTACAGCCATACATCAAAAAATAACGAAGTTACTTTATTGACGCATTGCTATGAAAGAGTTACTTTTTAACAGTGAGATTTGGCTAACTTTCAATTTTTTTACTGAAACCGGTGGTGAACACTCCAAAAACGGCCCCAAGAGGGGCATAACATGAATGAAAAAAACGGAATAGATTTGAAGTCAAGCGGAGTAGAGGACTTGATTTCAAGTATTTTTAAAAACCGGGGTAAATCTAATCTAATCCCAAACAATAGTAGGGATCGAATTCTTTACATTTTAACGCTATTGACCCACAGATGGCGGGAAAACACAGGTTTGTATCAGACTTTCCACGTGGTTTCGAGTTGGTTGGCTTTTAACCATCTCAGTGAAATGGTTAAGTGCTGTCATTTTTATATGGCGAAACTACGCTAAATCAAGTGGGTTATCGGGATAACCAACTCAATACCCATAACTACGTGGTTAGCTCCGGTGGGGACATGGTATAAGTGTTCGAAAAGCAAATGAAAGTTTTTTCTGCATTTTGTCGCATTTCTTCAAAATCCTTTAAAGCGTCGTCGGCTAAGCTCATTGCTTCTGCAAGATCTTCATCAGGTACTTGTAATTGCCGGCTAGCAAAGCAACAACAATTTATAAAAAAGCAAATGCTTGGCTGTTGTCGCTGTGCTAACAGTTTTTCAAACCCTGATAATTTCTATAGATATTCGTACGGTACAAATAATTTTTACGGTATTTTCCCCGTGACAAATAAAAAGTTTTTGACAATTGGAAGAAATACAACTTCGAAAGTCTTTTTTAAACGATTTTTCATTGAGCCGTTGCCGAGAAACTTATGGATACATATACATATATACAAAAATTGCTCGTTTAAGGTAATAAGAATAAGGAGCAAAATTTTCCGCAAATCCCCCCCCCCCCCTCCCCCCATCAGAAAATTCTGGATCCGCCGCTGCTGCTCGTGTTTTAACGAAATGTGATTGAAGCATTTGAACGCACATTTGCATGTCTGGCTGTAGCTGAACGTGTAGAGATGCTCGCTGTTACCCTGCAAAAATCGTTGGACCATGTACTCTATTTGTGGTATATTGGAGTACTTACAAAAGTGTTCCTCTGTCATGCTGTAGCGGACCAACTCGTGTCTCCCCTGCAAAAATCGTTGGACCATGTACTCTATTTGTGGTATATTGGAGTACTTAC